AATATGGAGGTCTGGGAGCAGAGAATCCTAAATGATTTCATGATTAGGACTAGGTGAGATCACCACCCTTTGGGAGAAATTAGGATTTGCAGATGTAATAAAAGCAATAGGAAGGTGAGTCTCAGCACACCTGACCTCTGGAATGTTCATAAAATGGTTGCTAAGGTGTGGTACATGGTTGCTAGGTGGTGCTCCTGCAGGTGGAGCCAGTGAAACATGTGACAGGCAGTGAATAAGCCCAGGAACTGTAGTGCCAAAGGGTTTCAGGGAAAAGTGGGTGAGGCCTGCGGGTGAAACTGGGAGAGGGGGAGAGAAAGTACCAGGCAGTAGCAACTTGTGTGGAAAGGTGGGGAAGAAAGTGTTTTTCACTGATTTTCCAGGAAGAGACCAGCTTAGAAAATAAGAGAATTTATCTGTATATCACGTTCAGTGGCAAATATTGGTTTATTCCCTATTAAACTCTTATCCCAAACCCTGGTTGTACATGCATGCTTGTGTACACATAATGGTCACTTGATTTTCTTATATTCCATTTGGCATATCTACTGAAAAGCACTTTTTAAGAATTGATGTATTTGGATGACCTGAAAATCTTTTCTGACCTAGCGCATTCCCTTATGCTGTAACCTTTTGATGTTACTGGGAAATGGTAATCTATAGCAGTGTTTCTCAACCGTGACCATTTAAAGATAAGTGGACTTCAACTCCCAGAATTCCCCAGCCACCATGCTGGCTGGGGAATTCTGGGAGTTAAAGTCCACCCATCTTAAAATGGCTAAGGTTGAGAAACACTGATCTATGATATGAACCAGCCTCAGTTTTCCATTAACACGCATACATACTACTATTATTTCTTTGAGCATGCTGATCTTCATTCAATTATAGGGGTGGTCCTTGTTTAATGACAGCTTGTTCAGTGACCATTCAAACTTATGATGGTGCTGAATGAGTAGTAATTACAACTGGCCCTCGTACTTACACTGGTTGCAGCATTCCCACGGTCACGTGATTGCTATTTGTTGTCTTTGCCAACTTCCTACAAGCGAAGTCAGTGAGGAAGCTGGCAGGAGGTCACAAATGGCAACCACATGACATCCTTGTTTAACACCCCTCGGTGATTTGTCTAACGACAACAACTGGAAGTGCCAGAATTTCTGTCGCTAAGTGGCATGGTTACATGACATTATGCTTTACGACCGCATTGCTTAGCAACAGAAATTCTGGCCCCAATTGCCATTGTTAACCAAGGACTACCTGTATTCAGCTTGGATAACATGTATTATAAGCTGTACCCCTCTTGTGTCCCATTCCATTTAGTTCAGGTAAGCTCTGATAGTATCTCCTCGATGGCATCTCCTGTATTTGTCTCAAAGAGGAACTTCAGCAGAAGGGAGTGTCAGTGATTCACATGTGGCATGACTGCTATGGGATTGCTGTTGGAAAGAGGGAACAGAAAACCCTTTCTGTAAACTTCCTTAAGTTAGGTTATCAACTGACATAGTTTGATAATTTTAACCTCTGGGTATTGTGAACATACTGCAGTTTTCTTCTTTGGATGGTAAGGCCTATTAGTACCAAATGCAATGAGACAACTTTGCTATGTTTGGGGTGTGCCCTCCTGCTGTGGAGGACCGTGCACCATGGACATCTTAGAACAAATACTTCCTTACTTCTAACAGAGCCTGGTCATTATCACATCTCAAATCTGATCTGGATGGCCAAGCAGGCAAGTGGATTAGAACGCCCATGCATCTTTTGGGGAAAGGACCATCCCACCAATCTCTCTTATTGTGACTGAATCCGGTTCACAGCAATATCTGGAACAAAGATGGGGGAGTGAAACTTTTTGTTCCAACCATTGCAGAAATTTAGTGTAGAAATATTTAGCTCTTAACAGTAATGGTGGTGGTGGCGGTAGTTAAACTTCTTGATACAGTAGTTTCCATAGCTGGCTTATGTAAAGCCCAAACCTGCCACCTACTGGAGAGTTCAAAGACTGTGTTGCATTAAAAAAGCAGAAGGGCCACAGTTAGAATACCAGTGACAGTGAAGAAATAACAATGGGGTCATAGCTAGTCTTGTCTGAGTCCCGAACACACAAATTGTCTTCTTCCGTCTTTCATTTCTTAGTCACCTATAATAATGTATCTCTCTGCTTCACTCCTGCTGCTGCAACTAATTGCCTTACTCAAGCTAAAGCTCAGAATGGATGGATGTCACACAAGATCTAAGGCAGCCTTCAACAGTCTGGAAGCCTTCAGAGGTACTGGGGCTACGATTCCTTGCCAACTTTCCAGGAATCCCAGAACATCTGGAGGACAGTAAGATTGGGAAGGCCAATCAAATGAAATTCTTTATGGCCTTAGGCACAGATGCTTACAGCTATGCTCTCTAAATAGGTAAGAGTAACATGGAGCTCTTGACATAAATGGCATCTGGCTGACTCCAAAGCCCAAAAATTCCAAAAGAACTATCTATATTGACTAATGTAAATTACTGTAATTCTTAATCTGGTTCACAAGTATATGCATCTCAATGGTTTCTTTTAGCATATGGAATTTTCAGGCAGCTATATAGCTGGGTCTGTAGCAGATGTTTAAAAATTCATGTGATACTCCAAAGCAATACTAATTTGGAGCCATGAGGAGAAGCTAAACTGATGACTCCAAGCTGCCTGCTTCTGCAACAGAATAAGCTTGCAGTGACTCAGTAAAATAGGAGACACACCAGTGAGCCTCGTCAGATGTGGAACTGGCTATACACATATATCATTCAGTGACTCATGGCTGAATATGGGAATTATCTCTATTGTTGAGAAGTATTATGTAGTAGGTAGAAAATCTGTGGCTGAATCCAGACTTGGTCACAGAAAAGGCTCAGTGAAATCAGACACGTTATCACCTAAAGCCACGTTCCACTGATTTCACTGTGTCTCTTCCAAATACAAAGCCTGCATCCAATCTGCTAACCACAGCATTGGATGTGTAATTACTATTTTATGTATAAATCAGTTTTTCATGCTGCAGTTATTTAAAGAACAACAGTTACTGTGTTGATCATGAGTAAAAATTCCAAAATCACAAACCCACAGGGATAACACTTTTATTATGGAAACTGTAGCTTTATAATTGCAAGCTTTTGAGTTTCTCTGAACCTTTCTTCAAACAAAAGGATAAATAAATAGAAAAAGAGGAGGAAAGATATTAAACTGGAATGGCTTGAGTACTTGTTGCTATTTTCTTTCCTCTCCTTTTCTAGATTTTTAACACTTTGCCGAGGATGGGTTCTGAGAAGACCTAAATTCTGCAGATTATAGCTGACCAATTAAGATAATACCATTGTGGATCTGTGGTTTTTAATTTAGCAGGTAGACAGTGATCTTCTTCCAATATGGTTTCAAATAGACTGCATCTGAGGTTCCCTTATCCAATTAATTGCAAATTCCAGACTAACATCCTCCAACTGTTCCTAGACTAACACCCAGAGTCTCCCAGCCAACACAGACCCTATTTCTTCAGAAAACTCTTCCCTTCTCAAGAATGATAAAGGAATGTTTTCTCAAAACTGCAAGGAGGAATATATCACGTATTTTGGATGACAGCAACAAAAACTTACCCAGAAGACAGACATACAAGAACTAGGAGAGGTTTTATTACAATTTAGCTACAATTAATTAAAAATCTGTACAAAGTAAAAAGATTAAATTAACTGAAAAAGAAAGGCAGCCCTGTGAACGTAAAAAATCACTTGATAAAGCTGTTTGAAAATACCATTGCTTTCAGATAACTTAAAAAGAAGCCCACAACTGCAAGATTCCAGCACACGTAGGAGATGTCAGAACCTGAGCAATGCTTTTTGGGAGTCTGGCTTTTTAAAATCTCAGAGGCAGGGTTGAACAGGAGGAAGACTGGGATCTATTAGAAGATTTGCAGTGGACTGGCAAGTAGTTTCACTCTCATTAAAAAACAAATAGTAACAGCACCAAGGACGGCTATCCTGTCCTGTAGGGTGAGTGAAGTACATAAAGTTTTATGGGCTAGTGAAGGGCAGGAGTAAACTTGTACATGAATGGCATTAGAGCAGCTCTGGTCTTGAAAACTAATTATTGGGCTGAACATGTCTCCAGTTGTAAAACCACAGAGTTCTCAGCACCTTTTTCCATGTGCTTTTGATGCTTCTAGTGGATCCCAGCCAGCTTAAGGTCTACTGACTCCTGCTTTCAGGGGAAAGATTTGATTGCTTATACCTTATTTACCTAAAAGGAAGTTAATCCTTAATTTAAGATGGTTTGCCCCCTGGCCCCAAAGGGGAAAGTAGCATACACACATACATACACACAATCTTTGCAAAGATCCACTTCCCCATGTTGTCAGTCTCCTATCCGTCTATACACATGCATATGGAAGTGTGTGACTGTGACCGTGTGTACACACACAGACCAAAAGTTGCTCTAAATAAGCTTAAGGTTAGGACTACAAAATAAATATCAGCTGAATTACTAACTACTGGTTAAAAATAATTATCTGTAAAATAAGATAATATAACATTAATTCATTTCCTATCTGCATATCCCAACCACCCTCTCTTTTATATACAATCCACTCTCATATGCAGAACGACATAAATACACACACACACATCTACACCTCCCTTTTCCCAACAGTAACTTTCTGTTAGGGTTACAGAGGGTAGAGATGGGAAGGGAAAGGAAAGAAAAAGAGAAGATCAAAACTGCAGAGGGGAAAGGAAAGAAGAGCCTGCCTTCCCAAAATGAGCACTTCCGATGAGGCAGGAGAGGGGAAGGGAAGACAACACTGCCGCTGCTTCTGTCTGAGAGCAGGGACTCAAGAAAGGTAGTCCCCAGGTTAAGAATGCCCAGGTTACAGTTGACCCATAGTTAAGAACGGAGCCTACTGTAGCAAAATTTGAGTTAAATACACAATGATTCGAGTTCATTACACAATACGACTTATACAGTATTATACAATAATACTGTTCCGAGTTACATACAAATTCAACTTAAGGACAAACCTTGGGAACGAAACTCATTCTTAAACTGGGGACTACCTATATCTGTGAAGTCCACGGAGAAGGCTCTCTCATCCATAAACTTCACCCACACAGACTCGGTAAGACAAAAGCAACTGCCTCTTCTCTGCAGATAAGAGATGATGACTTTTCTTCTATACACACACTTAAAAGTTAATTATTTGGGAGGTGGGGTTGTCTTCCTTTTGGGCAAACAGGGCATTTAGTCCCAGGAAAATCTAGGACACAGAAAATCCAGTTACGCAGATCACTACATTCCGAGTGTGTGCTTTCATAGATGGGTAAGAACTTTGGTTCCCAACGTATCTGAGGTCACAACAGCAGAACAGATAAAACCAGAAATAAATGCAGCACTGGCATCTTTTCAGTCCTTTGTATGGACATTTTTTATTCCAAGCCCATTCACAGTACTTTTCTAGAAATGAGGTTCCACTGGGGAGTGGGGAGAGTGTTCCCTGGATTAGCTCAGAGGTGTTTGTGTTTTACCAATCCATTTGCAGGAGAGGAAGTGGATCTAAATATTCTGCACAGACGTTCTGCTGGTGGAATTTTCCCAGCCTTTGGAGATATGTGAGGTTCAAAAGGCACAAAACATGCTGGAATGCTATCAAAATGCATCTTTCCAGTTCCACATCTATTTTGGTAGGTACAAGAAATCCACAGTGCCTCTCCCTCACCTGCTGATATTATGGGAGCTCAATCGAGTCTTTCTGTGAATGAAGAACAAAGGAGATTAAAATACAACTTTTTGCAGCCTTTCTACAGGGACAGTTTGTGGATACCTCTCCCAGGCATTATCCACCCACTAGGAAAATCATAGAAAAATACATTTGCACACCACTGCCTCCTGCAGGATCCATACAGCATTCACAACAGTCCATCTGTGAACTACAGAACATGGTAATGGAACAGGAAGAAGCCGAGAAGAGAAACACAGTTGTGTATACGTGAGATTTGAGAACCACTCCCAGAGGAAGCCCCAGCAGCTCTTTCCTGTTCCAAGGAACTGCAGTGCCTTTGAGATTTGCCCAAGCAAAAAAGCTGAACAGAGCTCCTGCAGCCAGAATATCAGACACACTTCAATATAAGCAAACTAAAGATAGACATGGAGGGGAGATGAGACAACAAGCACTGATGGAATCCTGATGCAGGAGGCACAGGCAAGAATGAGCAATGGAAGGTGAACAACCAGTCCTTCAGTTTTGCTATCAATTACCTTCATCAGCTTTGTCACCTTTCGATCTTGGCTCCTGCCACCACTCAGACAAAAATCCCTCTTCATAGTCACCAATGTTTTCAAACTCAGCATCAGATGGCAGTGCTGGTTCTTTCACCTCCTCACCTTCATCCACCTCTCCCTGAAGTAGGACAGAAGAACTAATCATAAGCAAAGCAATCAAGAGCCTAGGTTAGGCTTGGGGCAAAGTAGGACTAAAGGAGACAAAACCAGCTCTTAATTTATCACATTTCTACCTGTCTCCCAAGTTCTCACCTCATCATCTGGCTGGAGATATTGCCTGGCGAACTCCAAGAGTTTCTTCTGTGTGGATGTCCAGTTGTGATAGCGCAAGGCCTCCTACGAGTATCAGAAGGAAAAGAAGGATCAGCCAGAAGAGGTGAGAGAACAATACATGATGTTTTTACCTTCTCAGTTGGAGCCAGTGTTGATGCTAGCTGAAGGAAGGTACAATCTACCAACAAGACCCAAGCATGCAAACACCTGTCTAGCCACCAAGTTAGGACAGCTCTGGACATTACTGCAGCTGCAAATCATGTGGAGGTTTGAGAGCTCGGGCACTTCCAATTGTGGAGCTGCAGCAGCAATGACTGCTGAAGAAGTTGCATGGGGAAAGTAATTTGATAGTTAGGAATGCATCTAACTTGTGCCCCTCCGTGACAAAGTTCCTTTTCCTACAGATCAAGGTTGCGTTCAGTATCACTTCTCTGCCTACCTTCAAATTTCATATTTCTCACAGACTGTTTGTCTTCTTTCCCTTTTGAGTGATAAGTAAGGGCAAACTGTATTCACTCACTTCCATCCTCTGCTATCCTTGCTTCTTTTTGTTCTCCTGGTGTTGACTTCCCCATTCTGGCAATTTTCAAAAGCTCTTTGTGAACGGGGACTCATTTTATTATAATGATAAGAACCACGGACACTAATGGCACTATATAAATAATAATTATCCAATAATTATACTCTAAGCCACAGTGGGCAGTGCACTTTGCTTTATCCCATTCAGGCACAAAGACATCAAGCCCCGTACCAGAAACTGGAAAATGTGACCTGCAGCATTTGTGCAGCCCTCAAACATCTCTGGAGGCTCCAATGCCTCATCTTGCCAGCCCCCCAATGCATCCCGTTTATAGATTCTCAAATAACTAGATATGAAGGCTGATTGTTACAAGTACAAGAGGGAGAGGCGACTGATAGTACGTTTTCTCCTCTGAGTTTGGAACTGTGTCTTTGACAATTAAGAGGGAAATCTAGAGAATCGCCTTGTCCCTAGGACGGTATAAAAGGGTTCTCTATAGCACTGCAGCCAAAATATATTGGTGCTCCAAAATATATAGTAATCCTTAATCCAACAGCCATTCCTGTTCGTACTGTTCGTGGGTTGAAGTCATCCTCTTCCAGATGCCAACGTTCACGATAGAAACGATAATAAACCAGGTTTTGCTGCATGACCTCATCTCCAGGATCAAAGAGCATGTAGCTAGCTACACTCTGTACTGCATTCTTAATATCGTTCACTGTGCAGAGAATAATAAACCAAATTAGTGGGAGAGACACATCTTAAACACAACATGGAAAACAGGGAAGAGGAGAGGAGAGAAAGATCAGGACAAAAAGAGTCTCTCACCCAAACAGTAGCCCTTTACAAATATGGCCTGAAAGTAAAATTAACCTCGATTGGCCTTATCACATTTTAATCACAATGTACCCAAAAATGTTCTTCCACTTCTTGAAAGGGAAGAAAAATGATTTGTCTCTGTATTTCAAGGTTCGGGGCTATGTGGTGATCCAGATGTTCTTGAACTTGGAAAGGGACCATAGTTCAGTGAGAGAGCATCTGTTTTACAAGCAGAAAGAAACCAGGTCTTATCCCTCTCTTCGAGCTAGGTACAGCTAGAAACTCTGATTTTAAGCTTTGAAGCATCATTGTCAGACAGTGTAGATGAGGCCAGATGGAAAAACAATCTGACTTGCTGGTTGGTTTCCAGGGACTAGGTTTCCTACTCCTGCTATGGGCTACATTATGTTGTTCAATTTGTAAAAGAAACCCGCAAAATCTGAAATTCTGCTGGTGGGGGATAAGATGGAAAGGAGGAAATTGAAGAAAGGCCTCCTGTCTCATCCCATGCCAGTGCTCTGAATCCCACCCTCTCCTGGAATCAAGCCTCTCCCAAAACAAATAAAGAACTCACACTTGTAGTATGCAAACTGAAGATAGTGGTACATCGTGGCCACAAATTTCTCCACAAAATAGCCGCCTACATTTGGGGTCAGGTCAACCTCACAACCCACTTTACACTGCAGGACATAAACAAAATGATCTGGGGAGATGGAAAGAAAGAAGAAAGGAATCAAAAGCCAGTAAGATGATCCCCTTCCACCATCATTTATAGAAACAGCTTTTGCAGCCCAGTTTCGTTCATATTTACTTGGGTTCAGTGATCAGTGTATTCAGTAGGACTTCCATACAGAAGCAGCCGTAATGTCTTGCCAGCTTCTCCAACAGCTTTGGTGTATCTCTCCGTACCTACTTCCAGTATTTCCAAGTGTTTAAAATGTTTTTGAATTTGGCTCTAATTTATCTTTCCTAAAGTTTTCATTTCATCTAGACTTCCTAAAGCAGGGTTCCCCAACCTTAGCAACTTTAAGATGGGTGGACATCAATTCCCAGAATTCCCCAGCCAGCATGGCTGGCTGGGGAATTCTGAGAGTTGAAGTCCACCCATCTTAAAGTTGCTGAGGTTGAGGAACCCTGTCCTAAAGGACCGCCTTCTTTCTTTTTATTAAACCTATTAATATACTCATTCTATTTTACAAGACAAGATTTCATTTGCATATATCCCATTTTTTGTCAGTCAGTGCAACTGACTTTTCTCCTTTACCCAGTCGATGGGAACACTTGCTTTGAAAGTTCAATAACTAGATACATAAATCTATTTATTTGTTTTAATAATACTTATTAATATTTATTTTTTAATAATATTATTATTATATTATTTATTAAGTGAAGACAAGGCTGAATTTATTTACAGAAAGAGGCACTAGGACTGGCAAGGGAGAGTTCGTAGTATTTCAGAAGTATCTTTCTGAAAAAACAACAGGTGGGGTGGGGTAGGATGGTACTAAATGGAGAATATTCAGATGTAGAGATGATTACAAAGGTCAAAGCAAACAATGCAAGATTTTTAAAACATACACCACCGTGTCAGAACAGCTCTGTGTCCAAATGAACTGAGAGTGCTGTAGAAGTTGAAGTAATTCTGCAGTTTCTCTTTTACTCTAGGCTATAGCCCTATACTGAATCCTGCACTGTCAGTCCTTGTCCCACCCAAAACCAATTTAAAATTCGGAGGAATTATTTTCCACATGTCACATATCTGACATTTGGTACTGTTGACTAGCAAGAAAGTGGACAATGGATCAGCATTTGTGTGATGGCTGATCTGTCCCTGGTGCCCTTACCTGCTATGGCTGGATAGAAGTCCTTAAATTCACAGAGCTCATAGCTACCTTCGCAGCCAGCTAGGCAATTTTCATAGGCCTCGTAGTACTTGGACAGTGCGTGCTCCATGTCAGCAATGCTACTCCTAAAATCTCCACTATTGTAAAGCTTCACTGCTCGGACAAAAACCGTCTGCAAAGATTAGATGGAAAGTAGCAGGGTCAGTTTCAGCAAAGAAGCTGTTCTAATTAAGAGTTGCCATGCTAGGCAAATCCCCTCCAGTCTAATAAACCTTACAGTAGACCAGGGCTGGACAACCTGTAGAGGGGAAAGGATCACAGTGATAAATTAAAAATCATCGTGGGCCACAATACCTGATGCACCAATCTGTTGTTCAGTGGTTGGTGGAGCAGCGGCAACACTGGAGCTGGCAGTGCGGTTTGGAGGTGCTCGGCAGTGTATCTTTTGGGGTGGCAGCAGTGAATTTATTAACTTTTTTTTAAGTATATAATTTTTATTAAGGACTTTAGTTACAATATCAAAATCTAATACGAACTAAAAGAAAGAAAAAAGAATGGAAAGAAAGAGTAAAGGTGCAAAGGAGAAGGAAAAAACAGAAAATAGAAAGAAAAAATATATTCTTACTATTGACATTGTTGATACTAACTTCTGTTTCCATTTTTCAAAAGTGTCCTTCAGTCTTACCAATGTTAAAATGTTTTGTGCCATTTTATAAGTCCCAGTTAATTAGCTGTTAATCAGGCTTGTGTATTTTTCTCCTTTAACTAAAATCTTAGTTTCTTCTAGTGTCCAATTTTTAAAATTACTTATTTTTACTTTGTCTTGCAAAAGTCCAAACAAATCTATTCCCCACAGGAACGATTCTTTATAATTAATTCCAAAATCTTATTCCAAGTTTATATGGTCCCTTAATCCATTTATAACTTTCTAGGATCAAAGTGTCATTTAGCTTTTTGCTGTTTATTTCAATTAAAAAAAAATTCTTAAACTTATGATTAACATTTTCTTTCATTAAGAATTTAAGGAAAACCCACCTAGTGTTTTCAGACTTGTCGATCCGAAGGTCTCTAATGGCTTAAAAGTAGTTAACAAGAGGCGCTGTGCGGGTTGGGGAAGGTGTGTGGGGGTGCGCAGTGGTGCATGAGAGGCACCACATGGGTCAGGGAGGGTGTGCGGGGGTGTGGGAGGTGCCGCTCAGGGCAGGGATGGTGCGCAAGGATGCGATGTGGGTCAGGTACGCAGTGGTATGTGAGAGGCGCATGTGGGTCAGGAAGGGTGAGCAGGGGTGCAGTGTGGGTCAGGGAGAGTGCTTGGGGGTGCATGAATGGCTGGCACAGCACAAGCACAGAGGGGCTGGGGAGAGTGTATGGGTGGGGGAGACTTATCAGTGACTTGCAACTTTCCCTGCCACCTTCTCCATTGACTTTCTGGAGAAGCCGACAGGGAAGGTTGCAAATGGTGATCACGATTGCGGGGTGCTTGGCAAACAGTCATAAGTGTGAACAGGTTGCCAAGCACCCAGATCGTGATCACGGTGGGTGCTGGGATGGCCGTAACTCCAAGGACCAGTCATAACCACCATTCATTCAGCCCTCTCGTAACTTTGAACAGTCGCTGAATAAATGGTCGTAAGTCCAGGACTACCTGTACTGTGAAGTTCGGGGTGCTGAAGTTAGAAGCAGATGCATCTGTTATGGTCTCCATTTTGTAGAACAATCTTCCAATGGAGATTACACTTACCCCAACCCTGCTGATTTTCTGGTAGCAGATTAAAAGAGAGCTCTTCCAGATACTGTTATATTATTATATCATGGATATTTTATTATTTGTTAGTTAATGACTGTGACAGTTTAAAATCTAATAAGTAAATAAATAAATACTACAACGAGACCTACAAACCATAATGATAGACCTAATTGATCTAGCAATTAAAACTCTTCAAAGCTTTCAACTGTGGCCCCATCTCGGGTATAAATTCCTCCTTTCCATAGTATTTCAAACACGTACCTCGTATGGTTGTGCTTCCAAGTCTACAAGGTACTCATCCACATCAACCATAGTCTTGTAATAACTGAGGTACTTTTGGGTCATCTCATGCTTGGGATTCTTCTGCAGAAATGTATGAGCAGCTGATACTGCTTTCTCAACCTTATTTGCCTGGAAAAAATCAAAGGAAAAAGTAGAAAGCAGGATTAGACTTTAGGTTTGTGGAACCTCCTTTATTCTTTTGTTTCCACCAGAACTCAATATAGCCTGTTGCAAAGACATATGTTTAGAGTTAAAGAATTCTAATTGCAAGAGTTTGTTCTGAGTTCCAGAAACCTAGCTGTTCAGCACAAAAATCCACTACTGGTTACCACAAATATTTCAGAAGCAAGCTACATGAACTCACAAATCGTCCAGTAAACACTTTGTCTGAAAATCCCAAGTGAGATTAGTGGGGCTTGCTTAAATAAAATGTATTTAAAACAGAGCTATTAGGCTGCTTTTAATAAATCCAACACCTATGAAGATACACTTGCCCGAAAGCTAGTGTTAGACTGGTATCAAGGATACCCACATATTTTCCTTCTTCAGACATGGAAGTTCACTTTGGGCCAGTTAACAAGGTTATTGTGGGGGAAAATGGGAGGAGAGAGCACTGGTATGCTGCCTTGAGCTGCTGAATAAAAAGTAGGATATAAATCTAACACATAAATGCATAATCTGTTACACTGAAATGTACTGGAAGACAGAAACTCATTTTAATGAATCACTTCTGGAGAACAGAGGTGATGGTTGAGAAACTGTACACCAAATTCCTTTCCAGGTTTAGGCTAAAACTTGGAATAAAATGGTTTGGTCATGAAATATGCAAAGGAGAAATAATGAGTGTGACTTTAAGTGCACCGAGAATGCCTTGTGTCACAACTCACAGTTTAATCACTGCCAACTGCACACTCCAGGACTGAAGAGTTGAACAGACTTGCATAAAGTGCAACCCATTAGACTGAATGCCGCCTATTAGCTACATCTGGCTTAGATAAATGGCCCATTTTTGACTGCTTGTCTGCAACTGTCAAACATTCATTTACAGGTAAATTATATAGTCAAAAATTTCTTATACTTTGTGCAATTCTAGAGCAGGCTTCTTAAAATTCTGTGCAGGCTGACCTTTATCACTTCCCCTCCCCCTTCTCTGAAATTGAAAATCAGCCCCATGTAGGATCATGTAAATCATATGAATTGTTTAAGATCATCCTCAAGCAATTCCAACTATTCAAGGAGAGGCTTCCTTCTGCACGGATGAGTATCAAGCTATTGCACACATACAGTATGTGCATATAAAAAATTGGGCATCCTTCTTTCCGCCAGGTTTTGAACACAACTGCAAAATAAGGCATTACAATTTAGATACTACGTGACTGCAATCAAAAAGCCAAATAGCGGTTTGGGCGCTGTTAGGAAAGAAACAGAAAATAAAATTGGAGCTACATATGCATATTTGAGTCTTTTGATTGTGGTGAGATAGACAGGTATCAAGCAAACAAATTATTGTTGTACCTTTTGTAAGTCTATAGTAGGATCAACAGCTGGAAAATGCTATATTGCTCTGACTGAAATACCTGAAATAAGAGATGATAGAAATACAAAAGGGCAACTCAGGGGACTGGAATATTAATACTGACAGAAGAATTTAAGTTTAGTCCTTTCAGCTTAAAAAAAGGCAAGTGAGTGGGACATAATAGAGGTGTGCAGCAATATCCACGATGTAGAGAAAATTAAGGAGGGAGAAACAGTATGTACCATAATTTGAACCATAATATAGGAATGATGAGCTCAAACAAGGAGGAGATATTTGGTTTCTCAGAACCATCAGACTGGCAACTGTATAACCAGCCTATCTAGCCTGGTCTGGCTTGGTCTCTGTTCTTATAATAATGCCCATTGAAATCTCAGCAGCAAGACAGGCAACTTTTGAAACGGAAGAATTCTTTGTTCTAATTTTTGGGATTTCCCCAGATATTGCTCAAATATTATTTCTTTTTCAGGTTGAGCACTGGAAATATGCTCCTTCTTTAAAGTGAAGAGCTGCCAAGCTTCTGGGCACAAGAATCCTTTTAAAGCATATTGCAGGGGGTCTCTCAAAAAGATTGTTATGGGAGGAAGGCAAGTAGGAACATTTCAAAAAAGAGCACTTGCTTGCAGCCATCCACTGTTTCTATTCTCTAAGAATACCTATGAGGCCTATTTAGGGCTCAAATATAGTTTTTAGAAATATTCTGCTTTGCAGCATGCCAACTTCCATTAAATACTTTTTTTAAAAAGTCAGATGGGGCAGGGAATTGGGAACACTGGTGCCCTAAGGCAGTTATACTTTATTACAGTCCGTAACCAAGGTTGAGTATGCTTTTAAGATAATTAGAATAAAATAAATTAAAACAATATGAAAAGAAATTTCAAGAAACATTAATTTACTGAATCACTCAAATGAATAAGCGTACTGCAAATTATTGAAAGCAAGTTTAGTAAAATATTTACATTTAATTACAGCCAGTAACCAATGCCAAATACAATTTTAAGATAATTAGAATGAAATAACAGACATCTGATTTGGAAAACATTGAAGAGTATTTAAACACATTTCTATGTATGAAATTAACAGACCAACAAAACAAAACTCTTAATAAATGTACAACAGAAGATGGAACTAAACAATACAAAAACTGAAACTGAACAAGTTTCTAGGACTGGATGGCATCTCTACAATATACTACAAGAATTTTCAATAAATGTTGATTCAACCACTAACTCAGGCAATAAATGAGATGCAGCAACATCAAGAACTTCTTTCATCATGGAAAGAATATTTTATCTCTCTGATTTACAAAGAGGGGAACAACTCAATCCATTCAGAGTCATACAGACCTATTTTCTTATTAAATGTAATTTTTCTTTTACAGCAATGCTTGTAAAGAGAAGAAATGATAATTTAATTGAACTGATACATCCTAATCAGCCTGGATTTGTTCCAAAGAGATGCATGACAGACTACATTAGATATATCCTGAATGTTATTGACAATATAAATCAGAAAAACAAGAAGGCAATAATCTTTCTTGATGTGGAGGAAGCTTTTGATAATTTGGAATGAGTCTTTCATTCTTACAATTCTGAAGAAGATGAATTGTGGTTCAAACTTTTTCATATGGATACAGAGTATTTATGAAGAAGAAGAAGCCAAGATAATTGTAAATAGTTTTTTTGGTCACAAAAATGTATCATGATTTGGACCATTTGCTGAGCCTTATAAGTTGTTGGTGAAATATTACTTAAAAATGGAAAACATTAAAGAACTATACAATTAAATTAATGCAGAATTTAGACACAATAATTAATATGCAACAATGGGACTTTCAATGGAAGAAAAACATTAAATTTATACTAAACATTATACTTAGAGAAAAGTGATATAAGATGTTTTACTGCTGATATATTAGTCCAGTTTGATTGCTAAAATGAAGTTTCATTTTCTGAAAAGTGTTGGAAATGTAACTAATTAGATCATTTTTTGATATGTTGTGGCAATTTTGTAAAGCTCAACAATTTTGGAAAATGATTTATAAACAAATAAATTCTAACAGATGAATTTGCTTTCTAACCTATTTCTTAATTAAATATTGCTAAACATTATATTCCCACCAAATATACCAAATGTGTTTTAGATGTAGTAGCTGCTACAAGGATATTTTATGCTTTTTATTGGAAAGTATGCACAATTCCTTTGCAGATGAATGGCTAATTAAATTGTGGGAGTATGCTTTAATTTCCAAAATAACCTCTTATTCAATCTGACACAGAATTTAATTCAACTTGGAAACCATTTTTGGATTATAATTCTATATATGGGCTTGTACCACACCAAAAATCTGGGTTTCTCTTAAAGTCTCAATCTGCTTTACTTTATGAGTTATACTAGTGAAATGAATATATACTACTTGTATTTTAAAAACGACCTGCAGTTTTTAAAAGATTATATAATATACTCAGTTACATATATATTAACTACTGAAATATTGAAAATTCTTATCTGACAAGTCTAATCCTATATAATTCTATGATGTTTGCAAATAATCTGTTTATTCACTTTGCATTTTATTTTTCTCCTTTTGCCTCTTTTTTCTTTCTTTTCTTTCTTTTTTCCTTTCTCAAAATGTTTAATAATAATAATATAATTTAAAAAGATAATTGAAATGAAATAAAATAAACCATTGTAAAAAATGAAACACAAAATAAAGCATTTAAAGGAAACTCCAACCAACAAAATTAATTTACTGAATTACTAAAACTATTAAGCAAACTACCAATGACTAAAAACAAAAGTAGCAAACTAATTTGAAACTAAATTAAATTGTGACTACATTTTTAAGTTCTTTAGTGATGGCTCCAGGAAGATAAGCATGAATAAATGAATGTAGATTTATTTACTATTGCTGACTATTACTTAACAGAATAAATCTACACAAACATCATTTTATAATTCTGTCCTCAGGGGCCATAGGAGTCCTGTTGAATTGGAATAGCATATAAGCCCCAGTAAATAAATGGATAAATAAACTAAAAAGGGGGAAACTAGTCTAGACTGCTTTGTGGCATATAGGAATGTTGACTCAAACAGAATTTGGTGACTTTCCTGGAGGTCATCCCTGAGAGGTCTGCTAAGAGTAGAAGAATAAGAGTGGCATCTATTTTGCCCTGCCTGGTAATTAAATGGGGTGTAATTAAACCTTTGTGCCAACTTGAATAAACAAGGCAGTGAAGAAGAATGTGGACTATTGATCTGATTTCTTCCAAAGGACACTGGAATAACGTGCCCATAAGCAATACGCTGAAAAATAAATGGGTGCAAGCACAGATTCTCAGAATGTAAAATTCGGCATGTAATAGTAATATAGTACAGCGTGTTCCTGGAACTGTCCTGATACTCTGATCCTTTCACAAGTTGACTTGTTTCATCATTAACATTGAGAGTCTCTGAGACAGTATCATGGGTCAGAATATCTGTGACTGAAGACATCTGCCTGCTACCAAAGTTTGTTTTGCAGTCTATCCTAGACATGTTGGAGAAGTATTTGCCTCTGATATATGAATTATCTCACCACTAAAGCTTCTCCAGT